AGTTCACTGATGATGTGATTCAGCGTGTCCGAGATAACCCGGTAGACTATATCTACTTCCCTCTATATGTCCAGCCGTTTCACTGGATGGCGGTTGTTGTGGACATAAAAGCGTGGGATATACAAGTTCTTGATTGCAACGTCACCTTGAAGACGGAGGCTATGATCAAGAAGGAGGTCAATCCATTTGCCAACATGCTCCCCTATATCATCAAAGCCTGGGATCCTGAATCTAGCGCTGATAACATCAAGCCATTCAGCGTCAGTAGGCCTAAGGTACTTCCACAGGTAATTACTCTTCACTCGCCATCTTCGACTTTCAAACTCTGTCCGATAAAGTATATATTTTGTCGTAAACCTTTTTTTTGGCCGTTAACAAAACTAATTCCAGTAATCCTTCTATATTCTGATTTTTTTACAGGCAGCCTCGCTAACCGATGATGGGGTCCTCACTTATCTTTACGTTGACGCACACTGCCAGAAGGGATTGGATGCTTGTAAATTCCTAACCCCGCATGTGCTCCCTGATGCGGCTAAGCAGCTATGTCTGAAGTTTTACCGTTACATTACCCAAAACAATCCTCTTAATCAGCGCCAACAACAATCCTAATAGTCATCTCCAACTTCTTTAAGACTACTATCTTGTTTTTTAATATGTTGTTAAACATTTCCATTCGCATTGTAGACATTCATACTTATTATGTTTTATTTGGATTTGTTTAATCGTTTTCCTTATTTATCACTCATATATTTCGTACACCACAGGTTTTAACCGTTAATTGTAAGATTTTCCGTAACAAATATACTATTAGGGAAACATATTTTATTCAGAGATATAGCTAATCAATCCTTGATGTTCCACTCCACTTGCTAAATATAGAGTGACATCTCGTTTACTTGCTCCACTAATTTGGGTCTTCATTTTCACAAGACACATAATATCATCTTTTCTTTCTCCGCAAAACATTACGATATTAGCGTCTAAACATCATTTTACCGGTTACCCAACTTCATTACTGATACGAATAGTTCAGGTTCCGGATATTACATTAGAGGGCAACATTTTTCTCCTCCCTTATCGATCTACACATATTTTGTCAACAAGGGAGGGCTTTG